CATGGGCCAGTGAAGCGATGTCCTCCACAACTAGACTGAAGAACAGAAAGGACAGCAACTTGTCTGCTCCCCTACCGATTCCCCAATGCTGTTCCCCTCCCCCAATTCCCAATTTTAAAAAAAAAGAGCGTTTAAAAAAAACCCCAAATTAACAGAGCATCAGTGAACTGTGGGATAACTTGAAGTGGCCTAATTTAAGGATGTGTAATTGGAGTCCTAAATTAAGGAGAGAGGGCAGATAAAATATTTGAGGAAATAATGTCTCCAAATCTTCCAAATTTGATAAAAACTATAAATCTGCAGATCCAAGAAGATTAACAAAACCTAAGCACAAGAAACATGATGAAAATGATACCAAGACACATCATAATCAAATTGCTTAAAGCCAGTAATAAAGAATAAAATCTTAAAAACAGCTGGAGATAAAAAAGATAAATTTACATATAGAGGAACAAAGAAAAGAATTACAGCGGATTTCTTGTTGGAAACAGTATAAGCTAGAAGAAAGTGGAGCAACATCTTTAAAGTAATAAAAGGAAAAAAAAACTGTTAACCTAGAATTCTATCCCCAGAGAAAGTATTTTTCAAAAATGAAGGCAAAATAAAGATTTTTCAGATATACAAAAGACAAAAGAGTTCATCACCAGCACACCTGTATTATAAGAAATGTTAAAGGAAATCCTTTAGGCATAAGGAAAATGATACCAGATAGAATTCTGGATCTACACAAGTAAAGAAGAGCACTAGCAATGGTAACTATCTGGGTAGATATGAAAGATTTTTGCCCAATTTAAAAAATCTTAAAAGATAATTGACTATTTAAAGCAAAAATAATAACAGTGTATAAGGCTTATAACATATATGGAAATAAAATGTATAACAATAGCATAATGGCCAGGAGGGGAGAAATGGAAGTATATTGTGAAAGGTTCTCATACTATATGTGTGTGAACTGTTATAGTATCACTTGAAGGTAGACTATGATAAGTTAAAGTTGTATATTATAAAGCCTAAAGCAATCCCTATTATAACAAATAGTTATAACTAGTGAGCAAAAAGGGGTAAATGTAATTATAAAACAATACCGAATCCAAAAGAAAAAAAATAGAAAAGAGGAAAAGGAAAGCAGAATACTGGGAACAAATGGAAAACAGATAACAAATGGTAGATTCAAACCCAACCATAGCAGTATTCATATTAAATGTAAATGGTTAAGTAACCCAATGAAAAGACAATCACACATTTTGATTCATCAGATACTCTTATTCTGAGTTTGCATCATCGCAAAGCTCCTTTGGCTCTAAACAGTGAATGTGTTGGCTTTAGCTCATGTCCTTGGATTTGTGATAGAGCCTTCATTTATGGGCACTGCCAACCTTTGTTCTGTTGTGATTTTCCATAATGCCCCAGTGCCTACTGGGTAAGAATTTAAATCTTTACACTTAATGCCTTATGTTTACCCTATTTTTAAAAAAAGATGAAAAAAGAGAAATATAAAGGAAGAAATATATTCTGGTCTCTTTAGCCTTCATTCAGGGGACAAAAAAGGTTAGGCAGTGGTTCTTAACTGGGTAATTTTGCCTTCAGATGACATTTGGCCACATCTGGAGACATTTTTTATTTTCATGAATTGAGGGGAGGGGTGCACTACTGGCACCTGGTAGGTAGAGGCCAGGGATTCTGCTGAACGTCCTACAATGCATAGGACAACCCCCCCACCCCCCAACACACACACAACAACTAATTATCTGGCTTAAAGTGTCAATAATGCCGAGATTGAGAAACCCTGGGTTAGAGGGAAGATGAGCGTGGGAATGGGAAGTCAAGGGAAGGAAACAGTTTCAGGGGCCTGCCTTTTGTCTTGTTAGAGAACAGGGTTAGAGAAGGTGAGAAAGTTTCCTTCTCAATCTGAATATACTCAAATACTAGAAAATATTCCTTTGTATATACTTCTAGCATGTGTCACACTGTATTACAGTTTACTGGTTATTATGTGTGTCTCCTATATTATAAATATGATAACTTGAAGGTAGGCATTAAATCAGAATAGTCATCTCTGTGTCCCCAGAACTTAGTAGTGTTTAACCTGGGGTGCCACTCAAATCTATGATTGAATGAGTAGGATGAATAAATAACTAATTGTCCCAGTACTAGACCTGTAGCTCACTCTCATTAAACCCAGAATAAATTTCTGAGGATTCTAGTGACTCTGTCTCTGGTACCTGACACCTATCTTCAGTGTGCAAAAGACTTAACCCATAATCAACTAGCACACTAGTGTATTTCTGGGAGTGTGAACCAGGTTAGTGTTATGTTTGTTTTATGCAAATGAATACTTATTCATAAAAAACTCTAGATTTGGCCATTTTCTTTAGCACCTATACATATTTCTGTATGGACCTTCAGGTCTGCCTCTGATGTTGCCAAGCCAGGAGCAGCCAACAACTACTGTCTTCAAAGATGCCTCGTATTTCATAGACTGGAAGAAATACCACTTGTGTGTGGTGCCCAATTTGGATCTCGATTTGGATCGAGGTATATCTTCCTCCATCTGCACAGGAATAAAGAAAACTGGAGAATATTAGAGAAATGCAAGGAAATACAAATAGCAGGTGTATATAAAACCATCAGTGACCTGATGGTTTAGGTTGCTTGAGGTTGCAGGTGGCGGTCCGGTCAGGTTTGAGAGTTCAATTGGAGTGAGGCAAACAGGTGTCAAGAGGCCAAGCCCCATCAGAGCCTAACTGTTTTTGCATTACACATTGGTGCTGGTTCTTTCACTTCCTCTTTTGCCTCCTGTATTCCTGGTCCTCTTGAAGTAATCAGTGGGCATTCATCTTCTAGGGCATTCACCCTTTTTCAGAGAGTTTCTGCTCCTTAATCTGTCAACTGTGGGGTTTTAGAAAGGTTAGTAAGGGAGCAATTACGTCTTTGAAATTGTGGAAGAGAAATGTTTCCTAATGAGATGAGGAAATCCACAAAAGATTACTTAGAAAAAACTTAACCACCACATAAATGCAAGGCAAGAGTATAAACCATATGGGAATAAGCCTAGGAAACTGGCTGGATATTCATGTAGTCTCACCACATTAGCTTTGGGTAAGTCATGCTGAAAGCTGGACCTTAAAAACTGGACTAACAAATAAAACTGGGAAATAGGACTATTACAACCATGCGCTGATGTCTAGGTTTACAGTCTTGAGCTTGACTGTTGTTAGCCCTTTGACATTTAGAAGGTAGTCTGGTTGATTGGATCCTAGGAAGATGACCAGTAGGGAAGAGGGATTCTAGAGTTGTGAAGCATGAGAAGATTGAAACCTCCTGGGATGGGGGAATATCGCAGGGGGAATGATAGAATCTTTATCTAGGAAGCAAGCCTTGGGGGTAAGGCTCTTTTTTCTTAAGTAGGTAGTTATTCCAGAATGAAAGGAGGTTGTCCAAGGACAGGGTCTCTGGAGGTAAGTGGTTTTGTGAAGAAAGAATGTTTGGTCTTAACAGAATGTCATGCCATCAAGATTTTTTAATCTCTATCTCTCCTTATCTCCTTATCTCCTTTTCTCATTCATTTTTATTTTCATGCTTTGTTGGTTTCCTTCATTTTTTGCCAATTTGTGATACCTGAACTTTCTCAGTTAACTTTGGGAATGAATAATGTAGAAAATGTCCCCTCATATCACTCCCTCATTACTCTAAAGGACAGAACCAGGGTCCACATGAAGACACTTTTCTATATGGATCTGGATGGAATTCAGGACTACCCTGATTGTATTCTAAAGGATCAAGTTGCTAGAAAACGACCATAGGGCATCAGAGTACTTGGGAATGCAAATATCATATAGTATTGTGGTTAAAAGCACAGACTTTGGAGTTAGTCTAAAACAGTTCCACCCTTTACTCTCACATTGGGCAACATATTTAACCTGTCTGTGCCTCTTTCCTTATCTGAAAGGGCAGAAGACTAGGTCCTACACCATAGTGTTGTGAAGTCTAACTGTTGAGATAGTATAGTACATGCAAAGAATTTAATATTGTTCGTGGCATGAAGTAAGCATTCAATATAACTTAGCTGTTACCATTATCACTACTCAAGTTTGACCTCTGCTTCTTAACTAACAATACCTACCTTAGAAAGTTGTACAGGAATGCGTGAATTTATTGTACAATGCTTCCCAGTAAATGCTGAGGAGTGCTGCTTGGTTTGCATTTTGCACACCTAGTTGTTATTTTGATGTTCTTCCTGTGAATCACCATTATTTGCTTCCATCCTGTGGATACAGAAACAGATTCAGGAGGAGAAGGGAGTGTTCAAATTTAGATCTATCTCAGATCCTTCTTTGTTTGAGGTAGGTTCTTAATTCAGTTAGCATTTTGAGGGCTTTACTTATCTTAAAATACTATGCGATATCTTGTCCTCTAGATTTGGTGCTTCCAGATGTGAGTTATCAGGTGAAATCCGGTGAGGGGGATCAGTCTCAACATATGGACCCTCAGGGACAAACTCTGCTGCTTATTCTCTTTGTGGATTTCCACAGCAGATTTCCAGTCCAGCAAACGGAGCTCTGGGGTAGGTATAGGAGAATGGGGCTGCCAACTCGGGTGTGCTTAAATGTTAAGAGAATAAAGAAAGGGCAACTTTATATGGTGCACATACCTGAATTAGATATATTTCTGTAGAATAATAAATTTCAATTTTAAAAAAACCTTGCTTAAATAAATTATATGCTCTATGGAAAAGATCTATATCTTGAAGCATCACTTAAGTGATGACATTTTCAGATTTGGTTGACCAGAAATCAGCAAACTCTTCGTATAATGCTCCCTACAGAGTGCATTACCTTAGATGGGTGGTTCTCAACCTTAGCTGTACAATATATTACCTGGGGAGCTTCTAAAAAATGCCCAAACCTCACCCTCAGATATTCTGATTTCCTTGGACTGAGGTGGGGCTTGGGTATCAGACTCTTCTTAAAGCTTCTCAGGCTTGAGAAATGTTCACTGCCCTACTGCTTTTCTGGGTGGAATCAAGAAATGTTATCAGCCTTTCTTGGTCTTGATTCAACATCTCAAATACAACATAAGGAGGCGTGGGAGTGTATTGGTATGAGTGTTTTATGTGATTGCCACACAGACCTCTGAACGGGAGATACTATTCTTGCTTAGGCATACAAGGGGAGTCTTTGGTGTTTGTCCAACAGATGGGTAATAACCTGTTATCACAAAGGTTCTCTCTGTTAGAGTAAAGCAGTGACTTCATTGTTTTGTGGTCCATGAAATACATGCAACAGAATCACCTGGAATATTTGAAAATATTCAGCTTCTGAGGCCAAGGATTAACTCATTCTTTTGCTACAATGTAAACATCTGGCATGGCTCAACAATCTGCATTTTTAATGTGATTCTTAAATACAGTAAAGTTTGAAAACCACTGAGTATGAGTGGGAGTTGACTTATGCATTTTAATCCAATATACCCTGGGACATAAATTTAAGTGTTTCTCAATGCCCTTCCAAACCATGAGGGCAGCAGCAAGAAGTAGAGCTTATAAACTTGTGGGGAAAGGTTCCTAGCCTCCCTTTTGGTGCTTCTGGTATATTTCCTGTGTTCTCCCTTCTCTGTGGGCCGATGCTTTTTCTTGGGACTCTACTCTCCAGGCCCTCCAGTGCTTTTGATGTGGCCCTGCTCCCACTGAGTCATAAGAGAAATGAGCTTACAATCCCAGAACAGAAGAGCTCACCTTGGCTGGTGCCAACTATTTGTTGAACAACCATTGTCAGCTGTGGGATTCTTCCTGCTGCCTGCCCTCCATGCCACCCGTTTCCCCAACACGTGTATATTCTTCAGGAGAGAAGCACGGCTTGCCTGGCTCTGGCTGGCAACTCTGTTGAGGAGCTGGTGTTCTCTGGTGCCCCACTGTTGCATTCATTAATGCCCTGGAACGGGAACATAGAGGACACCCAAATTAATGAGGCTTCCAGCAAGGAAGTCAAAGGTGAGGATGCCTCCTAGGGTTGTTACCTGGCGTGTGCTCATGTGGTAGAGGCTGATAAGAGAAGCAGCTTCATAATTCAGGGTAGTCAAGAGACCTGGGTTTAATTTTAGTTCTGCTACCAAATTCCTCAATGGTTGTTGGGAGGCAAGTCGCATAAATCATCTGATCCTCCCTTTCATATATTTAACATAAGGCAGTTAGACTAGGTGCTATCAAAGGCCTTTCTGAGTCTAAAGATCCTCTTAAGACTTAATTAAGACTTAAGATCTGCTTCCTTCCTGCATGGTTCTGCACCACTCCCCCCTACCCCCCCACCCCCACTTCCCCAACAGGTCTGCAAAAGGAAACAGCATATTCAGTCTTCCTAGGATGACGTAAAGTCTGATACTATGTCCTGAATCCTATTGAACATACCTTAAGAACTTGGATTCCTCAGAAACCAGTATTATTTATCATTCTTGTAATATTGTGATAGTTTAAACACCTGTTTCGCGTGACTCTAAAGGCCTTGCAGCATCTCAGATAGCTGTACTCAGTATTGGATTAAATAGAAATACATCTCTGCGTTAATAAATATAGTATCTTCTAAAAATTTCCTTACACATCTGGTAGTTTAGGACTAGCCTTTGAAAAAGATGTACTGTTGAGGGTAGGTATAGATATATGGGTATAGATATGGTCATTTATCTTCTTTCTCCCCTCTTATTTCTCATATCCTTCAAAGCTTTCTCTAGAGCTCCTTTTAGGAAACAGATTGTACAGAACTACAGTCTGTTTCCACATGTCTTTAAAAAATTACTTATTTGGCTTTCCTCCAACCTGGTCATGATAACTTTTCTATGATTAACTTGTTATTTTGCCATAATGTTAAAGGCATCTGGTGGTATCCACAGTTTTAGGAACAAACTTGTAGCTTTTTAATTAAACATCTGCTTTTAAAAAGGTTCTAACTGATGTCTTGAGCCTATTCTTTTTTTTTTTTAAAGATTTTTTTATTGGGGAATTGGGGGGATGGGAACAGTGCTGGGGAATTGGGGAAAGGGGAACAGACAAGTTGCTGTCGTTTTGTTCTTCAATCTAGTTGTGGAGGATGTTGCTTCACTGGCCCAAGTTGGCACCATCATTGCGCTCTTCTCTGACGAGGCAGATCAGTCGCCGGCTTCTGGACGGCCGCTCACTGCGGCTGCTGGCCGCTCACGCTGGCTGCTGGCCACACACGGTAGCCCATGGCAATCCACTGCCACAGGGACTGCAGCCCACGCCGTCGCCGGCGACTCACGGCAGCCCAGCTCCAGGTTGAGCTGTTGTTCAGCATCTTAGCTGTGGAGGGCAGTGTCACTGGCCCTCATATGTGGGATCCGAACCGGGGCCCTCTGGCATCCCAAGCGAGTTCTTAACCATCGCGCCACTCGGCCGGCCCTTGAGCCTATTCTTAGGACCAAACTATAGAAAATAATAATCCAGATGATATTATAGCAATAGTGATGTTTTCCCTTTGAATATTCCAAGGTACATTTCAAAACACTTCATATATATTATCCCAGTTTGTCTGCACAACACACCTGTGAAAGCAGGAGATATAAAGTCATTTCTGTACTGATGTGAGAAAAGTGATGTGACTTGGTCACCACTAATTGGTGGTAGAATTGATCCTAGAATCCATTTTTTCCTGACTCCAGTTCCAGACCCCTTTTGAGCAGACCACATATCACCTTCCATTCCAGGAAAGCATCATGGTGTCTCATGATAGAAATGTTCTTCTGCCTTGATTTTTAATGCAACCCTGAGAAAAGCCAGCCAGTCTTAGGCTGCTTCACCACGGTACCTTTGAACAGACTTTGAACAGATCCAGGGGAGAGTAGAAAAACACCGAGAAAAGAAAGATTAATTAGGAAGCGTTTCTCATGTGCCCTGTAGACTGAGTTTATCTTCCTGTGTTATGTCGGGGTCATCAATGCTAGCCTATTGTTTGATGACACATTTTGCCTATTAGCTTTTCTGAATGATGCTGAGCAGTGGTGCTTATGGTTACTTTATCAGAGAGGCCCCATTTAAAAAGCCCTTATACCAGCAGTTCTGAGTCATCTTTATGAGTTTTAACTTCTTCCCTACCACAGCATATCTGAAAGGACTGACACACTGACAATAACAGTAGCTCACCACAACAGTGATGCTCAAATAGGAATGGAGTAGGGTTAGACACACTCTTCAGGAGGCGTTACCAGTATCATCGTTTATAGTATGTGGTATGGATTTCTGTTTCTGATATGAATTAAGCAGGACCCCTTATTTGTTGCTTCAAAAACAATGTCATTCTTCACTTTAATTTTCCTGAGCTCTCTTTCATTTGTAAGTGGGAATTGGGTAGGTTTGTAAGTTGCTGGGGGTTTTTGTCTACAAAAGTAATTATTTGTTGATAGGCTGAAGTGCAGCCTTGAAGCGATCATGCTTACTGAGGGCTACCAACATTCTCTCTCCCTTAGGAGTCCACACTTTGCTCACGACGCATCTCAGTACCATCCTCAGGGAGAGCCGTGGCGTGGTGCAAGATTCCATCCAGGTCGCTGTGGACCAGGCCTTGGAGCAGCATCACCAGGCTGCCAAGGTAACAAGAAAGTCAGTTTCCTTTCTCCTACTCTAAGAAAAAGATAGCTAGAATATGTGGCAGGCAGGGCCTGAGACCCCTTCCTTCCTTAATGCCTCTTTCTTTCCTCTTTTGTCACCTGGGCTGGTCTTGTGCACTGCATCTAGCCTAGAAACTCAAGCTTGAACTTAGATGGGTCACGGTAACCATCTTGCTTAGTTTTACCTCCCCGTAGATGAGTTTGAGTAAATAGGGACAAAATCACAGAGAAAAATGGCTCATAAATCTTTATCTATACATCTCTTTCCCACACATACTCCTGGAGCTACCGCTTCACTAAATCTTACGTTCTCCCCCCATTCCCTAGTCCTTACACCACTTTCTCTTCTTACCTACTTTCTGAATTCCTTCATCGTGCGTAGTTTTAGTAACACATTTCTTACTTCATATGGCCCCCTTTTCAGGGGAGAAAACAATCACAGTAAGAGACCAAAGCTTAAAGCTTTTGATTTTAAATAGTAAGTATTATCTGTTTCATGGCCCAATGTCTCATTGCTTGTATTTTCTGAATGTGTCTGTGTCAATAAGTCATCCTATGAAAGGAGAGAACATTTTTTACTTATTTCGGTCCCTAAGTGTCCTTTACATACATATCATGATCTCAGTAACTCTTGTTGATGGAGGGGGAAGAATTATTGAAATCCTGCTCTGACTGAAATCTCTGGTCCCTTTGGGATGCTCTGAGCCAGCAGTTTGGGATTATTATAAACCGCTGCCTGCCCTCACCTGTTATGTTCCGTAGGCTCATCAGAAACTGCAGGCCTCCCTCTCAGTGGCTGTGAATTCCATCGTGAGTGTCGTGACTGGCAGCACCAGCAGCAGCTTCCGAAAGACCTGCCTCCGGGCCCTTCAAGTGAGTAGGATGCTTTCAAGTGCCAGGGGTTTAATGACATTAAATGAATGACACTACTGCCTATTGTAGTACTATGTACAGTGCTTTTAGAAACATTATTTCATTTGACCCTATTGTGATCCTACATAGTAGCAGGCCTATGGTAAGTGTTTTAAAAAATATTTGTTGAGTGGATAGTGGTATGTATACTATTTTATAAATGAGAAAACAAGTTATTTAAAATTTCTACTTCCTTTAGGTCACACAGCTAGTTATGAGCAGAAATAGGATTAGATCAGTGATTCCAGTTCCTTGTTTAAGAATGTTTTATGACCTCATGGTGACAGAATACATTGGAAATAACTGAGCAGCCATAAGTATTACATGTACGTGGCAGTAAGGAATGATGTGATAAGTTTTGGAATCAGAGGCCTGAGTTCAAATCTTAACTTATTTACTTATTAGCTGTGAGACTTTAGGCCTGTACTTAACCTCTCTGAGCTTCATCTGTAAACTGGAAAAAATGCTAGTACCTCAGAAAGGTATTATGAAGGTGAGGGCTAAATGTGAAAACGCATAGCACATGTAGGTTCTCAATAAATGTTAGTTTGTTTCCTTCCTTTTAGGAAAGTGTTCCGACTGGTTAATGTTATCAGTGGGGTAACACATTACTTCCATATCTGTGGCCTCATTTTTTGTGTACTTTTTTTCTTAAAAAGATAGTATATGTAAAATTTAAAATAACTAATAAACTTTATCACTTTAATTTAAAATTTTTGCATATTATCTCATATATATTGTATTATATAGTTGTAACCAAAGTATTTTATATTCATATGTAATTTGACATTTCCCCATTTCAACAGTCTTAGAATTTGTATTGGTTATCTGATATTCCACTGTGTTGGTTTACTCTAATTTAATAAGCCAGTCCCCTAATGATAGACGTTTAAGCTGTTTACATTCTTTTTGCCAATATAAATAGTGTGTCAGTTAATACCGTTTACTTTCTGAATTCCTTCCTCTTGTGTAGTTTTAGTAACACATTTCTTACTTCATGTGGCCCCCTTTTCAGGAAAGAAACAACCACATTAAGAGACCAAAACTTAAAGCTTTTTGTTTTTAAATATTAAGTGTATCTGTTTTATGGCCCAGTGTCTTATTGTCTGTATCTTCAGATGTCTTGCTTCTTTTGAATTATTTCCTAGAGTAAATCTCTGTAAGTGGAAGTACTGGGTCAAAGAGTATAACACCTTTACAATCTAGTGCATCTTATCATAGCTTCAACTTTCTGGGTCCTGTGGCTAGCACAGGGTAGTAAAAAGAGCACTCACCATACTGGCAGTCCTATGGTCATCGCTAACTTTTGTACTAACTAGCTGTGAGATCTTGGGTTGGTCACTTCTTTGTGAATTTCAGTTTTCTCATCTGTGAAATTAGTATGTTGTATTAGGTGATTACTCTTGTCCCCTTTAACGCTAATATCCTGTAATTCTATACTAAAAAGTAGAGGCTGTTAACCATTCCTTATGGATGGAAAAACTGTATTATTTTGTTCTTTTCCTCCCTAAGACTTATCTGAGGAAAAGTTCTTATATCAGCCTTAGTTCAGTGGAACTTCTGCTCTCTTGGAACTTGCTTTAGAGAAGTTTACATAACCCCTTCACAAACAGATGGATCTCTGGGATATTTATCTCCTATAGAGACAGGAGAAGAAAGACTTTGTCTAAAAGATCTAGCTTTGGTAACAGAAATTGGAAAAATATAGGAGTCACAACTACTTGTCTTACGCCAAGTACCTCAGGCCTTCTTTCTACTTATCTTGTGTCTGTAGGAACTACTGAAACTTCTAACATGATGTGAGCAATATCAGTGGTTTGCCTTCTTATCTGTCTCATCCTCTTCCCATATCAACTTCCTGTGGATACTTCCACTTTGGCTGCCAGTACTGGAACTCAGCACATTCTGTCTCTGGCCCATTTTAGGCAGCTGACACACGGGAACTGGGGACCAAACTGCACAAATCATTTCATGAGATCACCCAGCACCGATTTCTTCACCACTGCTCATGTGAGGTGAAGCAGGTAAGTGTAAAGTAATAATCAGTACTTTGGTGGAAATGCTCCATTATTGATGTATGGGAACCCTGAATGCAGGGCAGCGCTTTAGATCGCACAATCTGAGGTTAGCGTTTCAGCAAGGAAGACTGTGGTTTAGAAAAACGTCATAGAATGTAGTATTACATAGAGGTTAGGAGCCTGGTCAGATGTTGTTTGGATTCCATTTCTGCCACTAACTAGTTGCGTGGTATTATTATGGAAGCTATTTAACCTTTCTAAGCCTTAGTTTCTTTATCAGTAAAATATTCTGATGCATACCTAGAAGGATTGTTTTGAATTTTGAATAAAATAATGTATGTATGTAAAGTGCTAAGCACATAGCTACTCAAACAATGGTGATGATATGATGGAATTTTTATGTTTAGTTTGGCCTAATCAAACACATGCTTTAATGTATTCACCATTTTAGATGCTGGAGATATAGACTTGCATTGGGGTCGCTACCCTCTAGGAGGTCAAATAGCTTCATCTGGTTTTGTGACAGGTTCCTCTAATGAGGGAAGAGAAATCATAGCTGCGAAATTCTGTATCTCAATTCCAGATATAGCTGGTTGTAGTGTTCCACCTGAAGCCCATTTTTCTGGCTCTTTTGGTTCCAATCAGTAGGATTGACTTTTCTGGAACTAAAGTATAAGATGAGTACATAAAAAAGATTAAGGTTGAAATTATTATACAGCGGCTTCTGGCCAAGATCGAGTAACAGGGACTAGATTTATCCTCATGCCCAAAATAACAAAAAATCTATATACAACATCTGAAAAAAAATTGTTCTCAAGACATCAGGCATCAGACCACGAATAGGGCAGTCATTCCTGAGAGTTAGAAAGCAAATGAAATGAGCCCTATGATTTCCTTAGCACATTACACCTAGAGAAGGTATGCAGGCCATGGGACAGGGAGAGGGGAACCAGGCAAAGCCTAGTGGTCTCCCTGAGTTGCATAGGTGAAGCTGGGAATCCAAAAATGCCAAAGCAGCTAAAGTTTTCAGGGCAGAGTACCAGAGAAGAGAGAACTGCACAGAGGGAATTCTGGAGACCTGCAGAATTCTCCCTCTAGTATCCAGTTGAGCTCTGATCAATTAGTTCATTCATGTGAAGAAACTAACCAGGTAAAGAACCATCCAGAAGGATTAGAGGGAACAATATGCAAAGTTTACATAGGGCTAGGAATAGTGACTATTCCCATCAACCAGAAAGGAAAGCCCTGTAATTTACGGAGCATCAGGTAGAATACTAAGAAGGAACTTGCCTCAAGAATGGAGAAAAATTAAGCCTATAATAAACACTCCTCTGGTCCTGCCTAACAAAACTTAAAAGCAGAAGCAAGTGTTTGCAAGTAACTCAATGGCATCACAGAACAAAGTTCAAGCATGTTTATAGGAATACAGAAATATCCAGTACCCACAAAGGTGATATTCACAGTGCCTTGCATCCAATAAAAAAATTAACAGGTATACTAAGAAACGGGAAAATAAAACCCACAATGAAGAGAAAACTCAATTAACTGATCAATTATTCAATTAAAACTGATCCAGAGCTGACAGATGATAGAATTAGTAGACAAAGACATTAAAACAGTTATTATTATAACTATATTCCATATGTTCAGGAAGATAGAGGAAAGATTGAACATATTGAGATGTGGGAGGTATAAAAAACACCCCAAACAAACTTTGAAGATGAAAACTATGATATCTGAGGTGAAAACTACACTGAATAGTATTATTGGCACATTAGACACTTAAGGCAAAACTTTGCACAACAGAAACTATCTGAAATGAAACAGATTTTAAACACACACAAAACAAAATAACAGAGCATTAAGCATCTGTGTTAGGGACAACTTCAAGTAGCCTAATATATGTGTAATTGGAGAATCTGAAGAAGTGGAAGCAGAAAATATATTTGAAGAAGTAATGGATGAAAAATTTTGAAATTTGACGAAATCTATAAACCCTTCAGATCCAAGAATCTTAAACCCAAGCCCAAAGAAACAAAGGAAACTACACCAAGGCACATCATGATTAAATTGATTAAAATCAGTGATAAAGAGAAAATCTTAAAAGCAAAAAGAGTAAATGAAACCTGTTATGCACAAGGAAACAAAGATAAGGATTACAGCAAATTTCTCACCAGAAACAGTGTAAGCTAGAAGAAAATGGAGGGACATCTTTTATAGTACCGGGGGGAAAAAAACCTGTCAAGTTAGAATTTTTTACTCAACAAAGTAGCTTTAAAAACAAAGATGAAATAAAGACTTTCTTATAAGAGTGAAAGAATTTATCATCAACCGACAAGAAATATAAAGGAAGTCCTTCAAGCAAAGATGTGATACCAGATGGAAACCTGGATCTACACAAAGGAATGAAAACTACTAAAAATGTTAACTACATGGGTAAATATAAAGACTCTTTATATTTAAATTTCTTTAAAACAAATAACTTTTTCAAGCAAAAATAGTAATGTGAGGTTTATAACTTATGTAAAAATAAAATGTATGACAACAATAATTGAAAGGCCAGGAGAGAAATGGAAATATACTGTTGTAAGGACTTATACTATGTATGAGTGGATGAGTGGTATAATATTACTTGAAGATAGACTGATAAGTTAAATATGAAAGGAATCATCAAAATAACATGACAAGGCATTATAGTTAATAAGCTAAGAAAGAAGATAAAATGAAATCATAAAAAATATTCAACCCTCAAGAGAATGAGAAAACAAGCCATAGAATGGGTGTAAATATTTACAAAAGATACATCCAGTTAAAGGACCGTTATCCAAAATATACAAAGAACTCTTTCTTTTTTTTTTAAGATTTTATTGGGGAATTGGAGGAGGGGAACAGCATTGGGGAATTGGGGAAGGGGAACAGACAAGTTGGGATGTCCTTTTGTTCTTCAGTCTAGTTGTGGAGGACATCGCTGCACTGGCCCATGTTGGTATTATCATTGCCCTCTTTCCGGGTGAGGCAGTCAATCGCTGGCCATTGGACAGCCGCTCACGGCAGCTCATGCTTGCTGCTGGCTAGCCCCACTCACTGCAGCCTATGCCGTCACCAGCGACTCATGGCAGCCCAGCTCCAGGTCAAGCTGTTGTTCACCATCTTAGCTGTAGAGGGTGCAACGTCACTGGCCTTCAAGTGGGATCCGAACCAGGGCCCTGCTGCTCAGAGCTGGCGTCCCAACCAACTCCTAACCAACGCGCCACTCGGCTGGCCCCAAAGAACTCTTAAAACTCAATGATTAAAACATAGGCCAGAAGTGTAGTCAAGGGATTTGTAATAGATATGTATGATATTTGGGGGAAGTTGGGGGGCGGATTGGGGGAGGGGGGTTGTCACTTCGAGGGGTAAAAAGTATAACTATTGTACTGTGTTGTACAGCTGAAACTAATTCTAAAAAATGTGTATTTCATAATAAAAAACAATTTAATAAAAAAAACACACACACAAAAAAAACATAGGCCAGAGTGGCGTATGTTTTAAGGAATCCCACTTTAAATATAAAGACAAATAGATTACAAGTAAAAGGATAGAAAAATATACCATGCTTATACTAATAAAATGAGAGCTAGAGAGGCTATAATAATATCAGGCAAAGTAGATTTCAGAGCAAAGAATATTACCAGGGATAGAGGTTCATTTCATAATGATGACTACAAATACAATGAGTAAAATACAAGGAGACAGTAGCCCTAAAATTCATGAAACTTTTTAGAGAGCTTTAAAATACATGAAGCAAAACTAATAGAACTGTAAGGAAAAATAGAAAAATCCATATTATATTTGGAGATTGTAACATATGTCTCTCAATAATTGATAGAACAAGTAGACAGAAAATCAGTAAGTCTGTAGAAGCGTTGAGTAACACTATGAATTAACTTGACGTGATACTTGTAAAACACTCTGCCCAACGCAGCAGAATACACATGTTTTTTGTGGTTTTGTTTTTGTTTTTGTTTTTTTTTAGCTGAGCCATCCTACCACCTGTTGGCAGCTCAGCGGCAGCTCAGCTTGGGCTGGGCATCAAACCGCTGTTGCTTCAGAGCTCGCACTCTTGAGTGAGCTCTTAACCAACTGAGCCACTCGGCCAGCCCTAGAATATACATGTTTTTTAAGTACACAAGGGACACTTAGCAAGATAGACCATATGTTGAGCCAATAACTATATCTCAATAAATTTTAAAGAATCCAAGTCATACAAAATCTTTTTTTTTTGACCAAAACAGAATTAAAATAAAATCAATAAGAGAAAGACACCTAGAAAATTCCAATATTTGGAAACTAAATCACACCGTTATAAATAATCTATGGGTCAAACACAAAATCAAAAGGTAAATTAGAAAATATTTTAATTAAAATAAAATGCAAATTATCAAAATTTGTGAGATGTAGCTAATGTAGAGGGGAAAATGTCTTTGTTAAAAAAAAAGTTTCAAATCAATGAACTCAGCTTTCAGCTTAAACTAGAACAAGAAGGGCAAGTTAAACAGAAGGAATGAAATAATAAATATCTGAGTGGAAGTCAGTAAAATAGAAAACAAAAATAATAGCGAAAAATCAATGAAATGTAAAGGCAGTTCATTGAGAAGATCGATAAACATTTAGCCAGACTAATAAGGATAAAAAGAAAACACAAATTGCTACTATCAGAAATCAGAGAGGTGGCATCAGATATTAAAAGTATTATCAGGGAATTTTATGAACAATTTTATTGCAGTAAGTTTGATAACTTAGGTTAAATGAACAAATTCCTTGAAAGACATAAATTACCAAAGTTCACTGAAGAAGAGTATTGCTACTATACTCTATACCTGGTAGCTCTATGTCTATTAAAGAAACTAAATTTTAGGGCTGGCTGAGTGGCTCAGCGGTTTGATGCCCAGCCCGAGCTGAGCTGCTGCTGAGCTGCCAACAGATGGCAGGATGGCTCAGCTAAAAAAAAGAAAGAAACTGAATTT